AATGTCAACTTGCACGGAGGATAATAAGCTTGCAGGAAGACTCACCTGTAAAAATGATAAAATAAGATTTAATAATGTTATGGGTTGAAAAACATAATGAGTTCAACAGTACCCAACGAATCTGGGTCACGCGTATAAATTACAATGTTCCTCCTTATGTAATTCATGTCTCACCTTTACATCGGCAATAAAATAATTTGCTTATTCCGGACTATCATAAATCTGCTAATGTAAGTCCTTAAGGAACTGACAGTCGCCGCTTTTTATGAAACCATAAGCTTTATTGCAGTTTTCACGAGAATCCGCCACTAAAACCTAAAATGAGCCAGTTTAATCTAGTATCACACATTCTCACCCCAATTCTAATGTATTCTAATCTATCATTTCGAAAACGCTGTTTATAATTGAAACTGAATTCAGCGGAAATTTACCCAGGTCTTTAGAGCATAATGTGAATACCACTGCAAATTTTCCTACATTAAATAGAAACTTTAGTGTGGTAGCAGAAATTAAAATGATAACTGAAAATATTCTTTAACGGGGCCTACATATCCTCCTCATACAACAATACTCTATACTGTGACTCCTAGGTTTTATCAGAGACGAAATATTAGTATTAAAAGCTGCAAAAAATTAGCACTATTATCGACAAAATACCCAGCCCTTAAAAGAACAGCGGTAACTACAGTAGGGACCAGATTACTTGCTAGCTGAGGTCCCTCGTGCTGTAGTTAGCTGCACACGGCACGGCCTGGTCGATGCACGGAACGGCCGGGTATAAAAAACGTAGGGTGCGCGCGCAGTGCTGTGCCACGAACTCGCAGCAATCTGGTCTTTACTATGCATGTACCGCCTGCTTAAACACTCAATAGCTTTCTATTTTGCCCACAGGGTGAATTTACGGGTTTCTTACTATTCTCAGAATGTACAGTAATTAAATCCCTAAACGGCATTAACCAACTGGCCTTCGTAATGGAGAAATGTGTTTTCTTTGACGAAGAAATTAATTTTTAAATAGGATTTAGATTAGTTTCTTTTTTCAAAGGTTTGAGGGTACACGCAAAGAAAGTAAATATGACAATGTGTATTTCTATGCAAGTGTAGATTACACAGTCCACTTATACAAAAACAGTACCGTATACTTAAACTGTACTCCAATACTTCTGTAAATAATAACTCCCAAGCATCAATCTACACTTGCTGGTATACTAAATATGTATGTGGTATCATAGATTCTAAAATGTGTAAATATGTTTCATACACCCAAGTTTACTCCTAAAACAAAAAGCGATTGGAATAACATTCCAGCTATACAAAGTTTAAAAAAAAGGCACAAAATACTTGTTCACTGATCCATTCTAATCACCGCATTATTTCAGACATAAAATTACTATATATGTGCAACACCTATTACATGCTTTGATATATAAGAAGATGTTAACTCTGCTGTTGGTGGCAATATAAAATGAGACATTATTTTAATAGGAGAATAAATTATAGAGTTATAAACATTTTTCCATCTCATCAGAACATAAGTTATACATAATACGGACCGTGTATGCAACATATGAAATTATTCTCTAAATTTCTACAACCAGATATAGTCCTAAGATAATTTCATTTTGGCTGATTTACAGTTGGAGAGAAAGAGGAAATTTTTCAAGCAAGAGGAAGGAACAGCCGCGGCATCGGTTGACGGGGAACCCTCTCGGACATAAAGGGCAGGTGCTGGAGGGCTCGCCGAACACCTGTTCCTTCACTCAGGCGCTTTGACTCGTGGAGGATGAATCGTTAGACCATTGTTAGCGAACAGATGTTTCTTTCCTACCTTGGCAGCTTCAGTTTTTACAAAAGCCCCTACCACAAGAGTGTAGGTGCTGCGGAATCGAGTTGGAAATCCACACTGGGGAATTTGATACTGCTATTGCTTATACGCGGGTGCGTAAAATGAAGAAAGCACTGACGGTAAATTGCGATCATCTTCCGCCGCTGCAAGTTGCAGGTCCTTACCGGAGAAAGAACATTTATGTTCCAAATAAAGAAGATTTATAACCGATTGTCTATGGGGAAAAAAATCAGATACAAAAGGAAAACCAAATGGAAATGTGCAAGTCCACTTCTCAGTAAGACTGTATGATATATGAACTGACTGGGATTTCAGGTTCTCACGGTAGCTAGTATGAAATTGACTCTTCCGAATGGTAACGCCGAGTAGTCTGGTAGAAATTTTCCGAAGTTTTGGAAGTACCTACTACCTCTATAATCGTCCTGTTACACGAACCAGTTCAGATGTGAAGTAACCAGGCTATCCCACGATCACAAAAGCAATCTTAAGTGACCGTAACAAACTAGGTTTATAGCGCAACAAACATTTTATTGACATCATTATCGATTTATGCATTAGACAGCATATGGCTGCCTAGTGAAGAAACAGTGATGTGCACAGAACACTTTATGCAGCTCTGAAACGTCGGTGAATTTCTAGAATGCAATGGCGCAACATGCCAGAGGACAGTCACCTTCACAGAAGAAACCTGTTCACAAACACAGACGGAACAAATGAATAAAGAACATTAGCAGCTGCACGAGACGGCATTTCTCATCAGATGACGTCACTACTTTCTCCACAAACCTGTCACTCGGGATATAAAGTTCATAATTTTCGAAGATATACGATGGGTAACAAAGCAAATGGACAAGAAACATATTTTATTCAATAATAAGGGGCCAAGTTGAACGTAACATTTTATGACCAAGAGAAGTGCCTCTCGAACAATTCGGTCTATCTTCCTTCCAACATGTTTATGCAAGACTACGATGGTTATAAATAACGTCCATTCTATTTTACAGTGTTGTTACAACAAAGTTCCTATTTCGACTTGTGACGATAAAACTGAACTACGAATTATTCAGAGATGATGTATCTAAGGTTACTTACCTCTCTCGACTGCTTGGAATAACGTATGAGTATAATTTGTAATAATGACTATGATTTAAACTTGTGATATCCTAACGTCCCATGGAGACTCGGAATCAAATAATTATTCAAATACAATTACTGAACACAATGGATATTTACGAGGGTTATACAACCAGCGGATTAAATTTTATCATTCTCTTCCGAGAATTCTCTCGGGAGTAAATAAACCTACACACATACACTCACCTACATGCAGACAGACATAACCTACCTCGTTTTTTAAATGGATACGTTCCCAGAGAGTAATTCCTTAAGCGAAACTGATGCCCATATTAATTTGAAGAAAGCAATAAAGTACTACACAAATCACAGAAAAGCACTGAAAAAGACACATTAAAACAATAAGAATAACAGATGCAGGGACCAAAGTACGAAATAATATGTACTGACGGGAAGGGTTAAGATGTCAGTGAGCGAAGAAAAACCATTGTTGAAGATGTTCATGATGACGACGACATTGATAAAAGGGTTGGTGTACAGTTATATACAAAGATTTGCAAATATTCTTCCGAACCCACTGACATGAATAGTTATCTCTAATTACATGCAGAAGCACGACAATACATCGCGAAGGGATGAGATTCACACTTCAACCTAGAGTCCTATTATTTTGCTCTATATTAATACTTGTGCTCCCCACTCCCTGATTTTCAAATTTATATTCCTATATACAATAAAATACAGCCATTATCATTCCTATAATATCGAATGCAAATGGTTCGTGGCGTTATTGAATGAGTTATTGCATGATTCATCGCCCTGATGACGGAGGCAGTAAGACATCTGAAACGTTGGTAAACATCTACCAGACTACACAGCGCAACAGCCCAGAAGACAGAAATCTTCATACTCACCGCTGTAAAAACCTCAAATCATACAAGAGTTATTATATTATTATTGAGTGTTCTGTCTGACGACAGGTCCATTGCTCTGCCCAAAAAGAGCTCTCCAGTTTTCCCTACTCTCAGATTCTCCATACAAGAGTAGAGTAGATTAATGTTCATTCGCAACGTTGGGACCAATTAACAAGACAACATGGCGTCACAACTACCATCGACATCTCCACTGTAGTGAGAATTTAAAATCCCAAGATTTTCTAACACCTTGAGACAGTCGTTGCTTCGAACAGGTGACTAAGAGTCGTCATACAGTGCGTTACGTTTAAAACGCAAACATAACTGCTACACACAACCAATCGCAAAATTGAATTCTTGTAAACGTATCCCGTTATTACAGCTGATGTGCTGCTGGAAACTGGCACAGCCATAATTTCAGCTGTCTGGTGGCTCGATAAGCACTTGTAAAAACAAACATTTCCTGTGTCACGAAATTTTGTTACCAGTAAATGTACTGTTGTCTTATTCGATATTTCCTTGTCAGGACACGCATTGCTAGATGTTTCACGAACAGCAGCAAACGATTTCTATGAGAAGTAATGTTTTTGTGCAACTGGCGTGAACAGAGGCCTAGCAACAAGGATGACCTTAACCCAAGCGTCACGGGAGAGGCTGTAAGAGTCTATCACACCACGGGAGGACCAACTTCTGATCTAATTTTTATGCCGTAGAATGTGATTGTTGCTGGGATGTGTTTTAAATAGCACGATTTGTAGTATGAATATTTACGTTAGTCTTCAAATTTAAGATTAGTCTGACGGATGGAATCGAATCGGCCATTTTTTAATAATGAGCTAACATACTAATCAATAGACTACTAGCATAGTCTAGCGTTCAAATGGCTACTCCAAACCGTGGCCATTATCTTAAAATATTGTATGTTAGTACAATGACAACTGTACATAATAAGATGCAAGGTTTTTAGAGGCATACATCGGCCATGCTGTCTTACGAGAGTTAGTCAATTTGTCGGAGGCAACCAACCTCCCACGTCGATGTTGGTCTTCGGAGTGATAACGTCGTGTGGACTTGTAGACAGAGGCAAATGTTTCGACGAATATACTTGGATCTATTTTCAGTCCTGAAAATACAAGCAGTATATTCCTCCGGAACGTTGGTATCTATCTAACAAAACCACATGGAATTACAGCCTAGGAGACCAAAATCAT